CCCACTTGTCAATCAGGGTCAGGCTCATCACTGCTTTTCAGTTGCTCGAGCTGTGACTGGGAAGGAGAAGTCTTAGCCTGTCACCTATCCAGAGGAAGCCAGGGGTCTTAGCCCCTGCAGGGTGCTATTACTTGCAGGGGATCTACATTCCGGAGAGCATACATATATGTAGTAAGTATATAGCCCGAGCCCCAGTGGATAGGCTGGGTGGCTTTTGTGACTGACTTCCCGTAAGTGGTATATCAGAGGTGTTTATATGCTGCTTTGCCCACACAAGTGCATAATTGACATGATTTGCTGGAGATTGCCATGGAGAAATGCCGCAAATAAACTTCACCTTCAGGAAGGCCTGTCTGCATTTTGGCTTTTACTCTCCCTTGGCTCCACAAGCTGTAAGGCATGAGGAATGATTTTGATGCAGGACAAGACCTGCTGAAGCCCAGCGAAGGTGGGCGGGATGGACCCTTGCTGATTATCTGTGGATGTGTAGTGACTGGGTGTCTTCCACACTGTAGTGCTTAGAGCCCTGGGCTTGATCAGTCTTTTACCAATTGAAGGTGCTCTGGAGCTGAGCTGGTATCCCACTGGGTGCTACCCTCTGTTCTGGCCAGCAGACAGGTTACACGGAGGGTTCTGAGGCCCTTCCTTCCACATTGAAGTTCCTGGAGATCGTGGAAGTGGCAACATCTTTCCTCTTTTAGGAAGTACTGAAAGAGCAGAGTGGCAACATACAGACTCCCTGTTCCTCAGCAGATCCACTGCCACCCAAGGCAGGGCTTGGATCCTTATCCTAGAGGCATCTAGCTCCTGACAACCCAGCACCCCTAACTGGTCAATGGGGGGCACCAGGATCTTTAGAACTGAAGGATACAGGGGAGTGGGCATAGCAAAAAGTTGACGTACCCATCTACTTCGGGGTGCTGAATATTCTTGGCCTCAAGTTGAGAGGTTGAGAGAGAAGAGTTCCTCTAGATTTTGAATCCCCCAGTGTATAAAAAATAAAAGCGTGTCAAAACAAAATGATAAAAAAAATTGGGACATCTTTTAAAGGCTATGTGCAAGTTGTTCTCCAAATTACAATAGTTCTGCTTATTTCTGACTTTTTTGGTGGTGGGAAGATGTGCCCACCTCTTCATTACCAGTATGTATTTTTTTTATTTTCAGTATAGCATTCAGTAAATGCGCAGTTCTACGCTCTATTATCTACGTGCAGTATTATGAAATGGACTTCAGACTCAATAGTTTTTCTAAGTGCTCTGCACATAGTTAAGGTAGGCTGCACTCAGTGATGTGCAGTGCATTGCATTAGATGGCTATTCGCATTCAACTTTAGATTTTTTCAATTTACAGTATTAAATATTAACCCATAGTCAATTCAGGAACATCTACTTACTCCTTCCCGCTCAGCGAAGGACACCCACACTGGATGTCCCGTTCCTGGGGAGGTCAGAAGTTGGAATCTTGTCTTGGACCTGGTTGGTCATCCCCAGTATCTTTGCCTTGGGGTCATGTGTACGAATGAGCTACAGCTACCCCTCCCCCCCCCACATTCAATATAGCTCCTCAAGGCAGCTGTTGGTGTACAGTACCACACGGCAGGAACGGCAGGCTGTAGGGGCAGCAGGTCCTATGCAAACACAGAGGATATTTGGTTAGATAGCTCGGTGTGTCCCAGGGTGCTGGCTGTGGGACCATGTGAACTTGAACTTCTCCAAGTTCAATTTTCTCTCCTCTTTCCCTCATGGGGCTGTGGCAAGGATCAAGGACAACTTAAAGCATCTGACATACAGAGGGCACTTAGCAAATAGTACCCGCTGTGGAGAGCCACTGACATCTTAGACTTCGACTAGGGTTTGTGGGAGCCTTGTTTATGTCTCGAGTCCCATGGATGCAGAGATGGCGTGCGCTTGCTCTTAGACCGACACTGGGCTGTGGGAGACATGTCAGGGCTGGGTGTACTGAGTGAGTTCCTGTGCTGCTCGTGTGGCCTGGCTTGGCCGGTGGCACCCAAGTGAGCCTGTGGCCACAGTTGGCAAGCCTGGCCTGCTCCTCCCAAGCAGGTCTTCCTTGTTCTCAAGTTATGTCGTTAGGGGGTCCTGCTGCGTTATTTGGGGGCTATGCTAGGCAATCCTTCCCCCAGTCTTTATATTCTTGGGCTTTTTGTCTGAATGTTGAAGACGGCCGCTTTTAGAAGTGGGGACATTCCTTTTCCTGCAGATGGGTCCTGGTTTGAACACTTGTGAATAAATGCAGCTGTGCAGGGTGGGAGGAGCTGTTTGTTATTGACTGGCAGGGGTCACATGGTAGCATCCCCAGTTACTGGTTCTCTGGGGTGGGTGGGTGGGGAAGGGCACTCTCTCGGAGGCTCCTTGCTCTCTGGCCAAGTGGAATGCTCTCCTGGACCAGTGTCCATTGCCTCCCAAAGGAGAGCAGCGTCTCCCGAGCTTGTGAGAGCCACATGAACTTTTCTCGAGAGTCACTGTCCATTATGCATGGTTACGTCTACTTTCAAGCTGATTGGACTTGTTAGCCCCCAAGACTCAGGGCCTGCTTTCCTGGGGTTGGGGGTTTCCTGCTTCCCCATGTGTGGGTATTTGCAGTGAGGCTATGCAAGCTTAGCCCTTCCTAGTAGTGTGTGTGTGTGTGTGTGTGTGTGTGTGTGTGTGTGTGTGTGTCTGGGATCATTACCGGGAATATACATTTCACATGTGTGTAAGGGATATAGGATTCTATATTCTCAGGGAGCTGAGGAGAGGTGGGGTCATAACCTGTCTGGCCTGGAAGCTTCTGTCTGATTTGCATTGCCCTGAAATTGATGGGGACAATGAGGTAATCACAGGGACTCACTCTCCCCAAATGAAAACTGAGCCAGCCACTCTGGATGTCACAACATGGGCGCCGTCCCCTGGGCATCTGGTTCCCATCAGTGTGCCCAGGCCCCGGAGGCTGCTGGGACACCTTCACATTTAACCTTCCCGGCATGAGGCCAGCTGTGGGGCCGCAGGGCCACTGGATAATGAACCTGGGCTTGGAGGAGGGGCTGCCACCAGCCTGCCAGAGCCTGGGAGGGACTTGGCAGAGGTCTAAATGAGCTGTTTACAGTGACCTGAGAAACACCAGATTTTTCAAAACCAGACCCTATTAGTCAACCCAGAGTGGTCGTGCTCAGCCTCTGCCCCCGGAAAGGGAAGGTTGGTCAGGCCCCATCCATCCAGCCCCTTGGCTGCTGTTCACAGTCCCTCTCAAGTCGCAATTACCTTGGGAGGCTGTGGCGGTTCAGTTGATTAGCACGGTGAATTAAAAGAATGAGCCACAAATGACATGTCCAGCTCTTCCATAGGAGTTCTCTGTATTCCCAGCGAGCCTCGCCCCTGCTGTAAGAAGGTCAGAAATTAGAGAGAGAGAACAATTTTCGAGCGGCTAGCACTTAGGAGCAGAATTAACAATCACTGTGTATGTAATTGCCAGTTAATAGTAAATTGCCTTTAGACTGTAAAATGCAATATAAACTGGTGGGCACCTAAAATTAAATTAATGAGATATTTGCTGCATTTAAAAGCGAATAGTTCAAATTAATAACCAAGTGCAATGCTTGTTTTAATATTTGTCTAATAGCATACCATTGACTTGTTTAATAATAATTAAAACAGTCCTGGAATCACCTACCTGAGGAACTTACCATATAAGATAATCAAGCCGCTTTTGCTTTTATGATTTTGCCGGTGCAAATGCACCAAATTGTTAAGAGTAATAAGGGAAATTATTTTTTAATTACAAGAGAAACATTATGGCGTTACCTGATTAAGCTGGCCTAGAATTTTGTATGCTTCTAATTGAGATTATGTTCTCATGAAAACTCCTTTTGCAGACCTGTTTTCAAGTGTGAAGTGTGTGTGTGTGTGTGTGTGGTGTTTCCTTAAAACGGACATTTGGCAGAATGTTTCCTGATTAACAGAAGAATGGAGGTTGCTGGTGTGGCTTGGGCTTAAGCCTAGTTAGACTCCAGGAATGGGACTCGGGGGCTTCTTCTGTTGACCTCTTGCCCTGAAGTTTGATTGACCCACCCTCATTTTGGAGAATTCTTTTTTGCTCAATTAAAGAAATTATCACAAATTACTGGGAGTCAACATGTCGCCGGTAACAGACTGAGCCCAGTCACTCAACAAGATGTTGGCAGGCGGCATAGACACATCTAAAGTGGACGCGCGGCGGATACCTGGAAGGGTCCCAGGTCTGTGATGCGTTCATTGGCTGGGAACATTTTCATAAAGACTTGTGTGCATTTGTTGTCAGATTTGGGAGACCATCCTTCAGCCAGGAATTGCAAGCAGTTTGTGTTCTTTCTCATACAGTTTCTAGATTTTTCTTTTTTTTATAAAGATGTCAGGTTGTGCCTTAAAAGTGGCTCCATATTGAGGGGTGTCAGTTCTATCCTGCACCTGTCTGGAGATGGTTTCCTGCTGAGTCTCCTGGCTGGTCTCCACCTTCCATCCCATTTTCTCTTACCTGGGAAAAGCCCTTGTGTTTCTGTCATGTGGAAAGGTTACTTGTGAATATTTAGACATGGTTCTGTCTAAACCATAGGATCCAAACACTCTTAACCACAGCTAGCCAGTTCTGGTTTCTTTTCTCTCAGCCAGCCCTGTGGTTCCACCAACAA